TCCAGTACACTTATTGAAAAAATCCACATACAAGTGAACCTGTGCAGTTCAAACCCAGGTTGTTTAAGGGTCAACTCTATATAGTTTCAGGTATACTTGCTGCCATTTTAAAAGCCAAAAGATAATGGAGTAAGAAGAGAGTCTTGAGGGGAAATTTTGAGGCTCACAGTCCAGCCACCATTTGTGTGTGCAGTAGGAAGCAGTCTCACCTAGGCCAAAGGCTTAGGAAAACATAACATTCAGGAGTCTTCCCTGAAATCAAACGAAAGATGGATCTGAGCCTGAGCATGAAAAAGAAAAATTAGAGCATTAAAAAACTGGCAGTGACATTGATACCAATTAAACAAAGGGCTGGCAAAAGCCAGAAATGATTGAAAAGAGGATTTTGTGGCTTAAAAAAAGTGTAAACAAAAGCTGGGTCTATCATCCTGGATTAAGTGGACAAATATTCGTAGGTGTGAGGGTAGCAGGCCAGGACATGGAAAGGCACATTAAATTTCTCCTTACATACGGAGGAATATAAAAATGATATCATTGACTAATAATTTGTGAAATATAACCTGTATTTTTATTTAGTAAACTTACAGGCAACCACCAGGAGAATTATAAAACTGGCTTTGTGCCTTGCAAAAACACTAGAAGATAAAAACAAATATTGAAAAACTCAGAAAACAGGAAATAGCAAAAGTAAAACTATAAAATGGGATGACAGATAATCAAACAAATCAGCTATAACAGCAGAGATACAATGGGTTATATCTCAGCCAGAGTGGAGACACTGCGGGTTTTTAGGGCGGACCCCTTGTACCTCCAGGCTTTTGCTAATGCCTAATCTTAGGCCTGGCTAGCTTTCCCGCCCTAAGGCCCAAGTTCTAGCCAGACCTCTTCCTTCTCGCAGTCCTCCCGGGCCACCCGAGGTGGAACGAACACTCCCCGCATAGAACAGGGCACGCGAAGCTGATGCTCTCGGTCGGAAGGAAGTCCCCGCCTCACTCTCACACCAGGATGCAGAATGGGGCCGGGCCTGGTCCCAGGTGCAGGGCACAAGGTGAAAGCGCTGAAACCCTGCTGGACTGTAATGTTTATCTTTTTCCTGGTCGCCCGCCGGTTCCCCGAGACGGTAAGCATTCCCGAGCAGCAAGTTTCAACTCGGCTTGGTTTGCTGACGAATGCAGTCACGGCCCTCGGAAGCCTCCCACACACCCGCCTGCGGTCCCCGCGCGGGGGCGGGTCTTCTCACCGCCGAGTAGGATCCACCCCTGACGGTTCACCCCGCCCCCACCTTGCAGACTTTCGGGGCTTCACGGTGTCCACTGGGAAACCGCGTCGGCGGAGCAGGAGCAGGAGCAGGAGAGGAGTGGCCCTCGGAGCTCGGCGTCCCGAGCCCCTTCCCCAAACCAGAGGGGCCCCTCCCTGTCGCCAAAGATGGGTTCAGGGAGGGCGTGGTCCCACTGCATTTGTTGGAGAGACTGGGGGCTGAGTCCAAGGGTCTTGAGAGGTAACAGGCGACGTGCAGAGGAGCTCGGGGCCGACTCCAGCGGGTGAAGCAGAGGGGTCCCACTCGCAGACTGGGACGCAGCAACCAAAGGGTTAAAGCACTGTGTCCCGCCCCGGTCTGGGGATTGGCGACCCCGGGGGGCGTGGCTGGAGGGCGGGCCCACGTTTGCCGCAGCTGCGGGTGGGCGGGGCCCGGGTGGGGAGCGGGAGGGGCGCGGAGCGGAGCCGGGCCCGCGCCGCGCGCCCCGCCGGGCGGGCTTCGGGCTGCACCAGCGAGCCGGGCCGGTGGCGTCGGTTCCGAAGACCCCGTGCCGGACCCTGAAGCAGCGAGTAAGTGAGGCAGGCCCACCGCGGCGCCCCTCCCGGCTTCAGCCTATCGCTGTGCCCACTGCACCGCGAGGTTCGTCCGGCGGGACTCAGAGCTGGGGAGGGGGCGCGTCCCGCTGCTGGGGTCCCGGGGGGGAGGGGAGTGGAGATGAGACCGATGATGTCATGGATGCTTCTTCGGGCCTGGGGAGCGGTGGAGGCCGGAGGGGGTGCGGCCCGGATTATGTCACCTCTTCCCTCTGCGCCCCGCCCCCCGGGGCCACACGCGCTGGTGGGGAGCACAGGGAGGTGCGAGCGGGATTTCCCCCACTGCAGAGACCCCCGGGCATCTTCTCAGGACAGCCTGTGGCCCGGGTCTCTATCTGTCGCGCTGTGGGCCGTGGGCTGTTGGTGAATGGCGAACACCCTCACCCCTCCGCGCGGAGGCTCGTGTGATGCGCGCGTGTGTGTGCTTGGGGGGGGGGGCGCTGTCAGCCCCCACAGTCCTGAAACACGGGCTTCATCAGAACCAGAATCTAGGGGATGGGCCTCCTTACCCCGTTGTCGCCAAGGGAAGATGGATCTCCCTTCACACATCCCAACCAAGAACTTCTGGATACCTCTGCACCCCCAAAAGATTTACAGTGCCCCGGGTCTCTTTTCTTCCTTAGTCCTTCTTCCCAGAAGACCTTCCTGCCTTTCCTGTCCGGATTCATGGCCTCTTTGCATTGCTCATCACTAGCAATCCCACACATATTCTCTCTGCATCTACTCAGTGCCAGAACCCAGAGACCACCAGGACTTTGCAATCTGTGCTCCCTGGGCACCCACCGGCTGGGAAGCCTCAGAATGAAATCTTCCTGAAGTGACCTGAGCCAAGAGCTCTAAGACCCCTTCCTGCTCTGGGCAATCAGGATGTTGTCCTTGGAGGCAGCATTTAGATGGGTCTTAAAGGATGCAGGAAGGGTACAGCGATCTGGGAAGAGATTATGTGTGGATTGAAGAGGAGCTCGAGTCAGGGGAAATAGGATGGGCAGTGGGAGAGGCCTTGGGGGCCCTGCTGCCAGCTCTGCTCTAGTTCTGGGGGCTGAGAGGAATGCCAGGCATTTTACCCATAATACATATCATATACTTCTTAAGATTCCTGTAAGGTAGTCGTGAGAACCTGAAGTGAAATAACCTGTATACAGTTCCACCCCTAATTTCTCTTTGGAGCTGATGCCTCCAGAACTCTGACTAGTCTGCTGTGCTTGGTGCTGCTCATGGAAGAATTTGGGCAGAGCAGTGACAAGATCAGCTTTGCCCTTTAGAAAGATTCCCCTGGCAGTTGCACAAGGAAATGAGTACTGGGGAAGAAAGGCCAGTGAGGAGTCCCCAGCATGGGTGCTGGCGGGGGGGGGAGGGGGGGGGCTGCTGAGATCTTTAGGGGGTGAAAGGGTAGAGCTTGGGACTTCTGAGACCCCAAGAAAAGGTTGAGTGTTCGTAGCATTGGGAAGGACACAGGTAGGGAGGGGCCAGGTGGTCACTATGAGTTGGAGGGACCTACTCACGTGACCCACAGGTAGAGTACATTTTGGCCCCTATGTGACTGCTAGTACTGTATGTAATGTCCCAGGCACTGAGGGTCGCTGGGTCAGAGACAGAGGTAGAGTCAAGAAACAGGCTGTCATACAGGTAGTTGAGCTGATGCCACGAGGCTGCCATTGCAGACCACACTTGGCTACCGGGGCCAGTTCAGGACTCTGACCCATAGACAAAGCTCAACTCAGTTTCTGCCTATCAGGGAAACATGCCCCTCCTTGTCCTGCCACCTCCCTGCTAGATTTTTGAGGAAACAAGCTTGGAGTAGGCAAGAGGCAGGGAATGTTTGCATGGGGTTAACCATGACAGATTAGAATTATGACAAGAAGCTCTTTGGGGAGTGAGGCTCGAGGGAGAAGAACTGCTCTGGTTTGGCAGTACAGGATTCCCAGGTAAAGCACAAGTGTAAGAGGCTTAGGATACAGTCCTTTAGACCTCATTTCCATCCAAGACTCTGGGTATCTGAGCCTGGTTGGGGACCATATACACTATAGGGAAACAGTGCGGCAGCGTGGCATATGGTCAGATTCTTCTTTTCTGGATCTCAGAGAAGGTAGTAGTACTGCATACTTGTATTACACTTTACAGTTTACAAAGCACCTTCTCAAACATTACTATCCCCTGTCACTCTCATGATCAACATGATCACTTCTGAGGTTTGCTTATGCCCACTCCCAGGCCTCTGGCACAGCCCCCTTGCCTACGTCTCCAGTCTCACTATTGGCACCTTCCTTCAGCATATCAACACACTCAAGTTTCTACCATGTTTAATTTTAAAATTAGAAAAAGCCTTTGGATCCCAAACCACTTAAATCTTCTCTGGCCTTTTAGCAGGGAACCTCCTATCTTTCCCTCCAGACCCCTCTACTCCTGTAGTCTGGCTTCGCCTTGCACTACCTTTCAGAAACCATTCTCTCATAGATACCAGTGATGTTTTCACCTGCCAAATCCAGAGCACACTCTCCAATCCCAATTCACCTGGCCTCTTTTTAATAACAGAAGTGTACCCACATTCTTGAAGGCCCCCATCTTGTTCTGCAGGGCCTGCCTTCTCCTGGCATTCCTCCTGCTCCTTCACTGCCTCCCAGGCTTCTAGGGCTCGATTACCCTACCCTTGAACGCTGATGATTTCAATCTCTTTCTCTATCCAGTGCTTGAGAGAGATCTTTCTCTGGTCTTCCCCAAAGCACCTATTTCCCCCAAACATTCTCACCCTGACATGTTAAATGTGTCACACTCGCCCTGTTGCTCCAGCCCAGATCTTCCCTTTCCCCCACCCCCTGAACTCCACCTGTATGAAGTTTTGTCAGTTCTTCCCTGTCCAGGCCTTCCCACTGGTTCCAAACCTCCAGGCCACTCAGCCTCCATCCTCTCAATTCTCAGCTGCTTCCTACACTGTACCAGGAATGGTGAGAGAAGGGGGTGATGATTAAGATGGGAGGGGGATTTCTGAGCTGAGGGGTAGCCAGATTGGCATATGCTGGGAGTGGAGGCAGAGCAGGAACTAGGGTGATGCAGGTACCTTAGGGCACCACGATAAGGAGGTCTTCACTCTCTCTGGGTCTGAAAGTGCTGATCCTGCGCTTCTGTTGTACCCCACGGGACAGATTGGCCAAGAGAGGTAGGTGGTAAAGTGCTGTTCTCCACACCTAGGGAGCAGGCACCGAGAGAGTGGAATTTCACAAAGGCAGTGTGGACTGGCTTGATGGTGAAATTTCCAACCACCTAGGGCTGTAATTCCATGTGTGATGGCCAAAAGACTCCTAAGGGCAATAGTTTATTAGGGTACCCGGGTCAGGAGCCTGATAGGATGGACACAACATTAGAAGTGGGCATCTGGGTAACAGAGTCTGAGAAGTGCTCAAGGGCTGTGGGGTGCCACCTGGACCCCTTCACCTTGGTAGAGGAGGGCTCCTGACCTGGTTTCTGATGGGAGTAAGGGGGAATGGCACCCTGCCATCTCTGGCACATGAATTTGAGTTCCTACACCGCAGGTAGGCACTGCTTACTGCCCCTTGCCAGGCTGGATTATTCGGATCTCTGGAGCAGGTGTTCCCAGGTGCGGACTTGAGACAAAGGAACCAGGAAGCAGGGCCTCCCTGAGTACAGGTAGCTGGAGGCCCTGCTCTCCCTGCTGGCCCTGTTCCTGTGGGCTGGCTGGGGGGTGGGGGTGGGGGGGGCGTTCACGCCCACTGAGGGGCGCCGAGAACTTCTCGGTGCACTGAGCAGGGTTGAGGTCCACAGGGAGCGGGGAGGGGAGTAATCCAGGAAGTCTTCCCGGAGGCGGTGAATTCTTAGCGAGGTTCGGCGGCGCGGAATCTTCCTAGGCGCCGCTGGGTGCGCAGGCCCCGCCCATTCCCGCCCACCTGTGGGAAAGGCAGTCCCCGAGGGAGGCTCGGCGGGCGCTCGCTGCTAGCGGCTCTGCGTTCTCCGCCCCGGCCTCAGCCGGCTTGGGGGCCTCTGCGCAGGTACTGCACGCAGGGAGGGGCCTTCCGTGCCAGGTGCCCGTGCGGCCCACTTCGGAAGACCTCCGGGAGGTCTCCTTGGCCACGCGCTGCAGCCGCGGTCCCCGGCCGGCTGCGGGGGCGGGGCGTGCCCGTGGTGGTCCTCAGGCGCGCTGCAAGGGCAGCTGCTGCCCCTGCCCCTCAAGACCCCAGTCCGATCCGGCGCCCGTCACCTGGGGGCGCCTGGCACGTGGCAGCTCCGCGAGGTGGGTCCTTCATTCCTCCCATTTTACAGAGAAGAAAACTGCAGTCCGGGATGGCTCTGTCGGCCCGGCCAAAGTCGCGCAGCTGGTTCGGGCCGAGCCCCGACTTCGAGAGTGAGGCACATGGCCCCTGCAGACCGGGCGGCGGAGGGTCCCAGGCTTGAGGACCCATCGGCCCCCCCACTCCCTTGGAAAGGCAAGGAGAGGAACCTGCGCTGGTAGTGATCCTCCACTTCTGCCCTTGGCCGCAACACCCTAGGTTAGGGCACCGAGAAGGAACCCATTCACAATTTTTGGATAGGGGTGGGTTTCTCTCCCTCCTTTAACTTCTGAGGTTTCCTCTTGAATTCAAATACTGCTGTCCTCTTCCAACCCCATCTCCCTGCTCATTGGATGGGATGTAGAGGTCCAGACCCAGGGTAAAGAACCCTAAGTTCTGGACGTTGCAGTGAAGAATTGAGGGGGCCACTGAGTCTGGGAGGCTAACAGAGGAGGTTGGGTTGAGGAGTGGAATAGAGAGCTGAGCAAAGCTGGGAGGGTATGGTGTCTTGGGCTCAGGCTCTGTCCGGTGGGCAACAGGCAGCTCCCATTACCAAGGTATCATTCTTACCTAGCCCCATTCCTTTACCTTGGGTGTCTGGGAATTCTTGTGTCTATTGTAGGGAAGGGGATGCTGAGAGGTAGGGTGCAGGTGGTTCTGGGGCTGACCTGGATGGTGTGGTGGGCACGGGGTTGGGTCTAACCAATCTCTGCTTTCCTGCCTATGCCCACAGTGCCCCCCTGGCTTAGTCATGGCGAAGCTGGAGACACTGCCTGTGCGCGCTGACTCGGGGCGGGATCCCCTCCTGGCCTTTGCCCCACGGCCCTCTGAGCTCGGACCTCCAGATCCTCGTCTGGCCATGGGCAGTGTGGGCAGTGGGGTTGCCCATGCCCAAGAGTTCGCCATGAAGAGTGTGGGTACCCGCACAGGGGGTGGGGGCAGCCAGGGCAGTTTCCCTGGCCCTCGAGCTGGCGGCAGTGGGGGCAGCAGGGAGAGGCCAGGCCGCTACCCCTCTGAGGACAAGGCTCTCGCCAACTCCCTCTACCTCAATGGTGAGCTGAGAGGCAGTGACCACACGGATGTCTGTGGCAATGTGGTGGGCAGCAGTGGCGGCAGCAGCAGTAGCGGCGGCAGTGACAAGGCCCCACCACAGTATCGTGAGCCCAGCCACCCACCGAAGCTCCTGGCCACCTCTGGCAAGCTAGACCAGGTTAGTTCTCAGGGCCTTTTTCTAGGGATGGGAGGTAGCCCAGAGAGGAGAGTAAAATGGGCCTTCTTGGAATTTGGGTTGTAGGTGCCAGGATAGAGGTTAGGCTTGGAGGGTGGGTCCAGGGCAAAGACTTGGCGTGGGTGGGCCATGAGGTAGAGACCCAGCCTTGAATGACTCCTGGGATGGAGATCAGTGAGGGTGGGAGGTGGGGCTGAAAGGTCTTGGCCAAAGGGAAGAGGCTTGGGTGAAGGCTAAGGCCCATCCTGATGCCCACTCCCCCTTCCTTGCTTTTATGCAGTGCTCAGAGCCACTAGTTCGGCCTTCAGCCTTCAAGCCCGTTGTACCCAAGAACTTCCACTCCATGCAGAACTTGTGTCCCCCACAGACCAGCGGGACCCCTGAGGGACGGCAGGGCCCTGGTGGCCTAAAGGGTGGACTGGACAAGTCTCGGACCATGACCCCAGCGGGAGGGGGTGGGGGCAGCCTCTCAGACTCAGGCCGGAACTCACTCACAAGCCTGCCCACCTATAGCTCTAGCTACAGCCAGCACCTGGCGCCCCTCAGTGCCTCCACCAGCCACATCAACCGCATTGGCACTGCTGGCTATGGTAGTGGCAGTGGCAGTGGCAGCAGTGGTGGTGGGTCCGGTTACCAGGACCTGGCGACCTCTGATAGTGGGCGGGCCTCCAGCAAGAGTGGGTCTTCTTCATCCATGGGGCGGTCTGGCCACCTGGGATCCGGAGAGGGCGGAGGTGGAGGCCTGCCGTTTTCGGCCTGCTCACCACCCTCGCCCAGTGCTCTGATCCAGGATCTAGAGGAGCGGCTGTGGGAGAAGGAGCAGGAGGTGGCAGCTCTGCGCCGGAGCCTGGAGCAGAGTGAGGTGGCGGTGGCCCAGGTGCTGGAGGAGCGGCAGAAAGCGTGGGAGCGTGAGCTGGCAGAGCTGCGGCAGGGCTGCAGCGGGAAGCTGCAGCAGGTGGCCCGCCGTGCTCAGCGTGCCCAGCAGGGCCTACAGCTGCAAGTGTTGCGGCTGCAGCAGGACAAGAAGCAGCTGCAGGAGGAGGCAGCCCGGCTGATGCGACAGCGGGAAGAGCTTGAGGACAAGGTGGCCGCCTGCCAGAAGGAGCAGGCCGACTTCCTGCCCCGGATGGAGGAAACTAAGTGGGAGGTGCGGGTTGGGGGCTTGGGCCTTCTCCCTGTCTCCTCTTCCTTCTATCCCTCTGGAGAAACCCAGAGCAGTAGACCATCATGATCACAAAGGGAGTGAAAGTTGGGGGATGGGGCACAAGATTGATTAGGAGTGTCTGTGACGACTGGGTGGGATTGGTCATGTATGTTCTGAGTCCAAGGAGGGCCCTGTGTGTCAGTTCTGCCCAGCCTGTTGCCCTGGAGAAGCCTGGTACCTCTGGGGCTGGATATGGAAGCTGGGGTAAGGTGAGCAGAGCTCTGCCTTCACCTCGGCTTCTCCCACCCGACCCTGCCAGGTGTGCCAGAAGGCCGGGGAGATTTCCCTCCTGAAGCAGCAGCTGAAGGACTCGCAGGCTGATGTGTCCCAGAAGCTGAGTGAGATTGTGGGGCTGCGCTCCCAGCTGCGGGAGGGCCGGGCCTCACTGCGGGAGAAGGAGGAGCAGCTGCTCAGCCTGAGGGACTCCTTCAGCAGCAAGCAGGCCAGCCTGGAGCTGGCCGAGGGTGAGCTGCCCGCCGCCTGCCTCAAGCCGGCACTGACCCCTGTGGACCCTGCTGAGCCGCAGGATGCTCTGGCCACCTGTGAGAGCGATGAGGCCAAGATGCGCCGGCAGGCCGGGGTGGCCGCTGCTGCCTCCTTGGTCTCCTTGGACGGGGAGGTGGATGCTAGTGGGGAGAACGGGACGAGGGCCCTTCGGCGGGAGGTGGGGCGGCTGCAGGCTGAGCTAGCAGCTGAGCGGCGAGCCCGGGAGCGCCAGGGGGCCAGCTTTGCAGAGGAGCGCCGCGTGTGGCTGGAGGAGAAGGAGAAGGTCATCGAGTACCAGAAGCAGCTGCAGCTGAGCTATGTGGAGATGTACCAGCGCAACCAGCAGCTGGAGCGGCGGCTGCGTGAACGTGGGGCCACGGGGGGTGCCAGCACACCCACCCCCCAACATGGCGAAGAGAAGAAAGCCTGGACCCCCTCCCGCCTTGAGCGCATTGAGTCCACAGAAATCTGATCCCTGACCTGGGCATTCGGACTTTTGACAAATGCCCTGTCAAAGGCCGGAGTCCCCGGTATCCCCTCCCATCATCTCTCTTCCCTATGTTTCCCGTATCCCCAGACCAAAGAGGTTCTCAAAGCAGCTCTGACCAGGGCCCTCCCCTCCCTGCACTGAGTGCCCTCCTAGCTCTACCACTGCCCCTCTGGGCAACCCACTGGGACCCTCCTTCCAAGCAGGGAATGGAGAGGGCAGAGTGAGTGGGGACTAGGGGCCCAGGCTCCCTTTGTTGGCACTCCCTTATTGGAGATGGAGATGGCAGGCCTGCAGCGCCATGAGGTGCCCCAGCCCCTTGTTGGGTCTGGGTGGCTGCCCTGTGTCCAGTGATGCTCTCTGTGCTCACCTCCAAGGCCATGTAGCCTTAGGGGCCTGCATGGGGTGTGCTGAAACTGACAGACCTTGGGCTCCTGGCCCCTCTCCTTCCTGCACTATTCTCCCTCTGTGGGCAGATTGGCAGGACAAGTGGGAGCAGATGGCCTGCCTGTGGTTGAGAGGGCTACTTGCCCAGCCCCTTCCCCTCAAGGTTTCTTGGGCACAGGCCTTTAGAGTCTGGCTTGGTCAGAGTGTGTCCATATGTGTGTGTTGGGGGAAGGAAGGGCTGGGGCTGGAGGCTCAGTGACCAGTAAAGATTTGCCCTCCTGTTCCTGGGAAGGGTTACCTGGAGGCTTCTAAGCTCCCCCTCCCCACCCCCACTTTCTGGCCAGGATCCAAGGGCAATAGCCTCACCTGCTTGGCCTACCCCACACCTGGGGACACTGTCTGGTTCTAACTACAGCTATTAAGTGCTACCTGCCTCTCAGGCACTCCCCTCACCCAGTTCCTGAGGTCATGAGTGTCTGTGATGTCTTCCCCACCCCATTCCTCCAACCTCCTTCTGCTTTCAGCTCAGAACATCATTGTCCCAGGCCACCTCTTCCCCCAAAACTCACCTTTTCTTCCAGTAGAAAATTCTGCTTGATATTCGGTGCACTGCCCACTTCCAAGCTCCACTGGGCCCAAGCCTGACTGAGGCCCTTGTTTGGGGGGTAGGAGGGTAGTTGTGATTGCCCTTGTAAAACAAGGCTGACCCGAGAGGAACACTGACCTTTGGGTTCCCAGAGCCCTGAGTAACCCACCGTTTGCCCAGGGTAGGCCTGGCATGGCCATCAGTGGGGGTTGGGGCAGCCAGTGTGACTTCCTCCTCTATGGGCCCTCTCAGAGTCCATCTCCCCAAGGTAGGAAGGGAAAGGCAAATTTCTAATTCACCAGCAATAAAAAATGGAGGAGGCTTGGCCCTTAGCCCTTATATTTCTCTCTTTTCACTCTCTTCCTCCCACTCCCAAGACTAGGTTTGGGAATAGAGTGGAGAGAGTTGGCAACTACTGTGAGCAAGTCCCCTAACCCTGACCAGCCTCCTCCCATGACTGGTGACTGTTTAAAAAGCTGTGCATCCCCCATGAAAGCAGGAGTGCCCCCTTTGTGTGGCCTCTGTCTCTGCACAGCCCCTTCCAGTGGCCCTCACCAGATCTCTGAACTAGGTTGGGGGGCCATCCTGGCAATCACTGCCCATTCCACTCACCCCTCAGTGTACCTGTCCCAGAACCTGGGCCTGGGTCAGAGGGGCAGGGGGAAGAGAAGGCATTAGTAGGAAAAAAAAAAAAGAAAGAAAAATATTAACAGACTCAGCTTTGGGACTTCCAACCACAAAAGAAATTATATATAAATATATAAAAATATATATCTCTACCATATGTGATGGAAAGACTTTGTTTTCTTTTCCCAAAGAAATAAAATGGAGAAAGCCTCTTGAGTGGCATTCTTTGGCTTGTTTGTGTCTTGCAGGTGAGGGGGATGTGGAGGGCAAAGCTGTAGTAAACAGATTTCCCAGAGGAGGCATGATACTGGAGGTTCTCACTGGGCCATGCTTGGAGGTTGGCTCAAAGCCCAAGCTCCTCCCTGTTGCCCAGGAGGAGTAGTGGTTCCACATTTCTGCCCAGTGGGGCCTTCTCTTCAAATGTCGCCCAAAGGGCTTCAAGCTGGTTCCAGTTCAGAATGTGGACAATAGGCTGCTGGCCTGAAGGCAGGTGATTCAGGACAGCTAGATACAGCCTGCAGTGGCCTGAGCTACCTTATAGCAATGAGCTGATGTTTGAAGACAATACAAAGTAATGAATGCTGAGGATCAGTGTGTAATTAGTGGTGAGGCCCAAAAGGCAGAAGGGACCCAAGCAAATTGCAAGCAGGAAGCCGTCCTTTGAGGGCAAATGCTGTCCTTTATGAAAATATCTTCTGGCACTCTTACAAAGCTCCCCAATCAAGGATGTATTATGCTCCCTACTGGTGTGACTCGGTTGAGCGGTTGTCTCATGCACTGAGAGGTCACCAGTTCAATTCTGGGTCAGGGCACATGCCCAGGTTGCAGGCTCCGATCCCTAGTAGGAATTGTACAGGAGGCAGCCAATGGATGTTTTTCTCTGTTGATGTTTCTCTCCCTCTCCCTTCCTCTCTCTCTAAAATCAATAAAAACATTTTTCCAAAAAAATGAGATTGTGGCTCAGTAATTAGAGTGTTGGCCTGCAGGCCAAAGAGTCATCGGTTCTATTCTGGTCAGGGGCATGTACCTTGGTTGTGGTTTGGTCCCCAGCCCTGGTCGGGGTTGTGCAGGAGGCGGCTGGTTGATGTGTCTTTCTCACATTGATGTTTCTCTTTCTCTCTCTCTCTCTTTCCCCTCCTCCCTTCCACTGTATCTCACGATAAATGGAAAAATATTTTCAAGTGAGGTTTTTCTTTTAATTTTTTTTTTATTAATCCTCACCCGAAGATATTTTTACATTCATCTTCAAACAGAGTAGAGGGAGAGAGAGAAACAGTGATGTGAGAGAGACACATCGATTAGTTGCCACCTGCATGACCCCACAACCGAGGTACATGCTCTTGGCCGGGAATCAAACCCGGGATTCTTTGGATTCTTTGGTCCATAGGCTGGCACTCTAACCCCTGAGTGAAACTGGCTGGGGAGTTTTAAAGGGACTGCATAGTTAAGTTTTTTTGTTTTTTTTTGGTACATGCCCCTAGCAGGAACTGAACCCGGGACTCTCTGATCTGCAGGCCGACGCTCCAACTGTTGAGCCAAACTGGCCAGGGCATAGTTCAGATTTTTAAAAACTAATATATTATGCTACAAATAACACAACCTGATGTACAGGACCTTAAAGGGTGGTTTATTTTTTCTCACATGACAAGTCTGGTAGGCATCCTAAGTGTTGGTTGATCAAGGATCTGGACTGTTCATTCTTCTTACCCATTCTTAGCATGTTGTTTCCACCATACCACAAAGTGGCTGCCACAGCTCCATGAATGCATTGAGACAGCACTACTCCATCATGTAAGTAATAGCTTCCCCAGAAACCTACCAGCACATTTCCCTTTAAATTTTGTTAGCCAGAACTAAGTCACATGTTCCCATTTCAAGGGAGGCTGGGACATTGAGTATTAGCCTAGGATTAATGTGGTTCATCCCCTAGGGATGGGCCCTCTGCTCTCTCTGGGTTCTGCCGGCGAAGACAGAGTCATAATCAACAACTAATTGTGTGCCCTGGTCTGGCCCGAGTGAGAGAACCTCCCTGAGCAGTCGTGTCAGTGGCCTGGGGCCCCAAATGTTCACACCGAGGCAAACAGTGCCCTCTGCAGAGCTCAGGAGTTGGAATGCCAGGCTTGTCCCCTGTCCCCTTACAGTGAAGTATCCTGCCTACATTAGTTTTGTTTCTGGGACAAGATGGTCCCCTGGAGGGAGTACCAATTCTCAGGTCTCCTTCATAGTCCTTAAGATGAGTGGACCAGCAGCCAAGGCGCTGCTAAGGTATGACAACCCGGACCAGCAGCTCTCCATTGGCCCCAGGAAAGGCTGTCTCCAGCCCTCCCGCATGTCGGTGGTGCCTCTTCCTCGACCAGTTTTGCCATACCGACTCAGGTATGAGCCCCTCCTACTTAGGGAGGTGGAGGCTCACCCTGGCTCATCCATCAGAGCGCTGGCCTCCTCAAGCTCCAGCTCCTCACATCCATTTGTCCTAACAGGTTCGTCTGTCCATCACTAACTCTTCACTAACTCTTCTCTTAGGAGCACTTTATAATTACATCTCTATTTTAAATGTATAATTACTCTCATTGTACAGGCGAGAAACTAGGCTTAAAGAGTTTTTGTGACTTCCCCAAGACCATAAAACCCTGAAGAGTGGTTGGGATTCGAACGTGCCTTGGCTCTTCAAGGTCGCGTGTCCATGGCGCTGTTTCCCCTCCGCAGGTCCTAGATACCCCCGACCCGTCAACATCGTCCTCCAATGGAAAACGTCCTTGAAAAACGCTGACAGAGCTTTTTGAACCTCGGCGGTTCCCGTCATTCGCGCAGCAGCCGGAAGTAGCGGGCAGTTGGCCGGAAGTGGGGCTGCGAGGCCGTGGTGTACCTGGAAGAGTCGCCGTGGTGCGGCAGCCCGAAAGATTTGGGGTCTGTAGTTGTGGTGCCCTCGCTGGCCGGGCCCAGGTGAGTGGCAGCAGCCGGGGAGAAGGTCGCGCCGGCCGCTTTGTGCCTGCCCAGGGCCCGCGCATGCAGAGGCCCGGCTCTGCGCTTCCTTGTCTGGGTGGCGGGCGCCTCTGGCAGGCCGGGCTCTAGGGAACCTCAGCGACCCCAGGCACCCCGGAGTCTGTGACCTTGGGCGAGCTGCTTTTCTGAACCTTGATTTTTCAGCTGTGAGACAGAGATAATGACAATACTTGCCTCACAGACATGTCGTGAGCATGTAGTGAGATGCACATCTTATCACACTTGAATGTGCATTCGAATCACTTAGGGATCTTGAAGTTTCCGATTCTGTAGGTCTGGGGTGGGGCCTAAGATTTTTCGTTTTCTAACCAGCTTGCAGGTGAGGCTGATGCCGCTGCTCCTCGGGCCACACTTTGAGCAGCAGGGCCCTACAGCATTTTGCTTAGTACCTGGGATGGAGTGAGTCTTCAGTAAATACCAAAGGATGTTTTTAACAGGCCTAAGTAAGGGTAGTATTGATGTCCCCCCCCCCCCCTTTTCTCTTAAGAAATAACACGGATGATGACCTTGTCTCTTCATGTACAAATCACGACACAGCTCTTCCGTCGTGACTCGGAGCTGTGGGCCCTCTCTGTACCAGGCAGGTTAATCAGCCTGATACTTCATTGCTCACTCACTGGAGACCCTTGGACAATGAATGCTTCATCCTGTGGAGCTGGCTCATGTTTTGTGCTTCAGTAATGTGTTGCTGCTGTAATCCGAATTCATGTTTTCTGCACTTTGAGTAGTTAGAACAGCTGCTTTTCCAGAACTAGATTCTGCAACTCACTGCTCTGAATGGCTCTGGGATGAATTACCACTGCCTGATAGACCAAAATAAAACCTGGAGACTCAGTGCCATGTAGTACAACTGAGAAAGTGAGGCCTTTGGCAGTTTTGCCATGCTAATTTGTCAGTTTGGTTTTCTTCCCCATTTATTGGTGTGTTTTTTTTCCCTTTTTTTTTTTGTTCTCCAATAAGGTCGTGCAAATACATCAACTTTGATATCAAAGAATTTTGAAGTCCCCCCTTCACTTGTCTGAAATACTATATTGTGCAGCCTTGCAAATCTAGGAAAACCAGGTGTTTGATGGAGTTAACAGTGATAGGTACTTGGACCATTTGAGAATTTTTTCCACTTACATGTGGGTACAGAATCTTCTCTTTACCTGCCTGGATTTTGTCAGTCCTCTAGTAGTCTCATTTAGATGGGCTGAGAGAATATGAGTTTCTGCTCTTTGTTATAGTCAAAGGTTTTCTAACGATGGAGTCTTATCAGACGCTTTAAGAACAGTGGGTTTAACAGAATTATCTGTGGGGCCTTGTCAGACTATATCTATCCAGGCGTTTCTTGCCATTCTGATAGAGGTAAAGCAATCTTAGAAGGGGAGGAGAAGGCTATGAAAGCTAAAAAAAAAAAAAAAAAAAGTTTCACAGATGATTGTGATGTGCTGTTTTCTTGCCTATAAGCATGGAAACTAGAATGAAGCAAAGGGGGGATGGGCAGTTAGACTTGATTTTGGTTTGACTTAGTTCTGTGGGCAATACTTATCTTGAGTTAAACTAGTGCTTCACCTTCATAGTGATTGTAGTCACCCCTCTTGTAGTTGTGCACTTGTGTATGAATAATCACCGAAGAGTCTAGCCCATTTAGCATCTGCGTTAATAGCTAAGGGTCCGCACTGTCAGCCTCTCCAGGGGTGGGGAACCTTTTTTTCTACCAAGGGCAATTTGGATATTTATAACATCATTCACAGGCCATACAAAATTATCAACTTAAAAATTAGCTTGCCCTGGCCAGTTTGGCTCAGTGGTCCAGAGAGACCCGGGTTTGGTGTCTGCTAAGGGCACGTACTTTGGTTGCAGTTTGTCCCTGGCCCTGGCTGGGTCGTGTGGGTGGCAACCACTCGATGTGTTCCTTTCACATCGATGTTTTTCTCTCTCTCTCCCTCCCTCCCACTCTATTTGAACAAAAAATGGAGACATGTCCTCGGGTGAGGATTAAAAAAAAAAATTAGCCGGCTGTATTTGGTCAGGCTAATTTGGTGAGGTGTGTGATGTTAGCTGATACTGATTTCGTGGGCCTTATCGAGAGCTGGACGTTCCCCACCCTGCACTCTCACCATAGGCTTTCTCCAACACCTAGAAAAAGTTAGTTTTTAAAAAATTGTTAGGGTTGCCCAAGAAGTTATTTGCTAAGAATGGGTTTTGAAGTATCCATTTATTTATGGCAATCTTATCAGGATATAAGAGGGTTAAACCTTTCTAGTAGAAAGATCAGAAATCAATTAAGGGATGCGATCTGATAACTGGTAAATTTAATATGCTGAGGGTGTTAATATACTTAATCTACAGTTAGCATGACTGCCTTCCTCCACCTGGCTCTTCTCTAACTTCTGGACTGTAATCGACCTTGCTCAGAACTGTATCTGGAAGGTAGAAAGGTAAGATTCCTTGTTCCTATGAAATCACATGATTCAGGGTGGTTTGGGCAGTGCCTTTCACAACAGCCATGCTCTAGGGGTCTCTGAGGTTCCACTCTGGTTCATAAGAACCCTTAAAGAGGAGGTGGGGAGCAGGGGATACTTGGAGCACTTAAACCAGGAAAGGGGCTTTGTGAAATGATGCCGCATATCTTTGAACCTTTATAGAAGGCATTGGGAATTACTGGGCATCTCATGGTGTTCTCAGCTTTCTTACGGATTCTCTGGGAAGCCTTAAGTAAGGAGGAAAACTAATTCTCTCGGCTGTGTTTTCTCTACCTGGGCAACACATCCTTATATCCTTTTCTTCCCACTTTTTCCTTTGTTGGTTCTGTATCTTGTGTTTCTTTCCTTTCCTGCAGTATTTAAGATCCAACTTCTGAAGTGGTTATATTTCATACCTGTATATATAGATATGGTGTCTATACACTTAACACTGAAAGTTCCATGATGAAAAAGTAAGTAGCTACTGTTTGCTATTTGCACTTTGATTCTGCATGCCTCTAAGATTATTTTGTTATCATTTCTGTCCAGTCTGTGGGCATCCATAAAGAAGTTCTAGAGACAATTAAAAGTGCTTGTACTGAGAATAGCTTTTCAACATTTTCCTTGAATAATAAGGTTACTGTCTCTATTCACTGATTATCTTCTTAATGACACCTTAATTTCCGGTTAGCACATGCGTTTTGTAAATTTAATTTTTGTCAAAGTTATACGTGGATATGGTTTACACAGTCAAATAGTGGGATAGAGCTTATAACACTAAATATTAGTTTCCTCTCTTTCCTCTCTTTATTTTTGTTCCCTAGAAGCACTTTCAGCTATTTGTCTGTTTCTTTTGGCATTTATCAGTATGTTACTGAATAATATTCAGTAACATTTTTTTTCCTTTATTGATTTTAGAGAGAGAGAGGGAAATATCAATGAGAGAGAACACTGATTGGCCACCTGCTGCATGCCCCCCACTGGGGATCAGGCCCACAACCTGGGCATGTGCCCTGACCAGTAATCGAACTGGCGACCTCTTGGTGCATGGGTCGAAGCTCAACCATTGAGCCACACCGGCTGGACTCAGTGCTATTTTTTGGTTTCTAGGAGATATCTATGTCGATATCTATAAAAATCTTTTGACCTCTTTATTGTGGATTTTGAGGTCTCTTATATCACTGCCCAGCTTTCCCTACCCATCTTTACTTCCCTTTATCCTCCGAATATAGTTGCTTATGTATTTTTTTAAATTTTATTTATTGATTTGAGAGAGAGAGAGACAGAGACATCAGTTTGTTATTTCACTTATTTATGAATTCATTGGTTGATTCTTGTATGTGCCCTGACGGGATCAAATCCGCTGCAACCTTGGAATATTAGAACAACTCTAACTAACTGAGCTACCCAGCCAGAGACAGTTTGCTCATAATTTTTGGTTGGGTTGATATTCAAGGTTTATATTAATAAGATTAAGTAAATATTATTCACAATTGAGCAAGGAGTATAATATAACGTCTTGTAAAACATTTTTGTTTTTCTGGAGTTAATTTTTTTTTTTTAACTTTATTGTTGAATGTATTACAGGTGTCTTTCCTTTTTCTCCTGTTGACCCCATCCTCCACATTCCCACCACCCTTCTGCCTTTCCCCACACTATTGTCTGTGTCCATTGGTTATGCATATACATTTTTTGGTTTATCTCTTTCCTCCTCCTCTCCCCCTTTTCCTTTGAGGTTTGTCAGTCTAACAACCAATTTGTACTACTTTTTTTTTTTAATCCTCACCCGAGGATATTTTTCTATTTATCATCAGATATAATGGGAGGGAGGGAGAGAGAGAAACATCGACTGGCTGCCTCCTGCACAACCTGACCAGGGCCAGGGACGAACTGCAACTGAGGTACATGCCCTTGACTGGAATCAAACCCACGACTCATTGGTCCACAGACCAACACTCCAACTGCTGAGCCATACCAACCAGGGCCAATTTGTACTTCTTAATTCCTTCATCTTTTTCACCCATTCCACCACCTGGCAACCAACAAAATGTTCTCTGTATCTATGAGTCTGTTTCTGTTTTGTGTGTTTGTTTTGTTTATAGATCCAATTATTATTATTATTATTTTTTTATCCTCACCCGAGGACATTTTTCAGGTAGAGTGGGAGGGAGAGAGAGGAACAGAGAGAGAGAGAGAAACATCGATGTGAAAGGAACACATCGAGTGGCTGCCACCCGCATGACCAACCAGGGCCGGGGACAAACTGCAACCGAGGTATGTGCCCTTAGTGGGAACCGAACCCGGGTCTCTCCGGACCGCAGGCCGACGCTCTAACCGCTGAGCCAAACCGGCCAGGGCATATAGATCCAATTATTGATAGATATGTATTTATTGCCATTTTATTGTTCATATTTTTTATCTTCTTTTTCTTAGATAAGTCCCTTTAACATTTCATATAATAAGGGCTTGGTGATGATGAACTCCTTTAGCTTTTTCTTGTCTGGGAAACTCTTTATGTATTCATCGATTCTAAATGATAGCTTTGCAGGATAGAGTAATCTTGGTTGTAGGTTCTTGCTTTTCATCACTCTGAATATTTCTTGCCACTCCCTTCTGGCCTGCAAAGTTTCTTTTGCGAAATCAGCCAGCAGTCTTATGGGAACTCCATCGTAGGTAACTAACTGCTTTTCTCTTGCTGCTTTTAAGATTCTCTCTTTGTCTTGAACCTTTTGCATTTTGATGATGATGTGTCTTGGTGTGGGCCTCTTGGGGTTCATCTTGTTTGGGACTCTCTGTGCTTCCTGGACTTGTGTGTCTGTTTCCTTCCCCAAGTTAGGGAAGTTTTCTGTCATTATTTTTTTAAATGAGTTTTCAATATCTTGCTCTCTTCTTCTGGCATCCCCATGATGCAAACGGCTTAAAATTGTCCCATTTTTTGGGATTCTTTTTTCTTTTTGCTGTTCTGATTGGGTATATTTTGCTGCTTTATATTCCAAATAGATGGTTTGCTTCTTGGCTTTACGTACTCTATTATTGATTCTCTATAAACTATTTTTTTTTTGGTCCTCACCTGAGGACATTTTTGCATTCATCTCCAGACAGAGCAGGAGGAAGAGAGAGAGAGAAACATCAGTGTGAGAGAGACACATTGACTGGCCGCCACCCATACGACCCCAACCAAGGCCAGGGACAAACTGCAACCAAAGTACGTGCCCCTAGCGGGAACTGAACCCGGATCTCTGAACTGCAGGCTGACGCTCTAACCACTGAGTTAAACTGGCCAGGGCTGTAAATTATTCTTTATTTCAGTTGGTGCTTCCTTCATTCCTGACTCTGTATCCTTCATTTCTGACTAGTCCCTTTTTCACACTTTTGAGGCCTTCACTAAGTTCATTGAGCATCCTTATAAGCAGTGTTTTGAACTCTGCATTTGTTAGATTGCTTATCTCCATTTTGTTTTGTTCTTCTCCTGGAGTTTTCTTCTGTTCCTTCTTTTGGGACATGTTTCTTTGTCTCCTCATTTTGGCTGCCTCCCTGTGTTTGTTTCTATGTATTAGGTAGAGTTGCTACGTCTCCTAGGCTTCCTAGGGTGGCCTATTATAGTAGGTGTCCTGTAGGGTCCAGTGGCACAGCCTCCCTGATCACCCTGGCTGTGCCCTTGAGTTACATCCCTTGTGTGGACTATATACCCTTCTGTTGTAATTGAGTCTTGATTGCTGTTACCACATCAATGGGAGGGATTTACTCAGGCTGATCAGCTTTAAGGACTGGCTGTGACCACTGACCTCTGGCTACCTTGGAGGACCAGCTGTGCAGGGGCCCACCACACAGAGCAAGATTTACTTCAGGAGGGCTCTGGTACCCACTGAATTCACTCCTTGAGTGTGTCACTTGTGGAGGTGGTTGGGTAGTGGTGCTTTGCCGTGTTCTGAAGCTGTCCACTAGGTGGCTGGCTCTGGGCAAATCCACTGCCTGTGTTCTACCCGGGGCCACCTGGCATAAGCTACAAAGCGATCTGCAGATGGCTGCTGCTTGTGCTGGGCTTAGCGGTGCCCAGGAAAAGCCAGGCTGTAAACCAAAGCTGGCTGCTCCGAGTGCCAAGCCTGGGGCCACTTAGTGAGAGAGATGGAGCTTGCTGAGGCCAGATGCTGCTTTTTTGAGAGAATTTAGGAAAATCTGAAACAGGAGCCCAGACAACCATTTATGTGGTAAACCCAACGAAAGTTGGTTGGGGCATGGCCTCAGGAAATCACCAGGGTGGTGCAAACAGTGTGAGTCAGATTGCTGGAGTCACAGATATGGTGCCTGTCTGCCTGCCCTGTGGGGGAAGGGCTCACCAAAGGAACAACGGCCTCCTCCGGCAAGTCTGTCTGGGAGAAAGCTAGCTCTCACCCCAATATCAAACAACTCATTTCTTCCCTGTATGTCTCTGGTGCCTTTTAAGCTGCCTCCCTCATGCTGGAGCTTGTAGGGAGCAAGTCTGAGTAAGTCCATATGTGGGCCCTTTAAGAGGAACTGCCTGGGGCTCCAACAGCCTCAGCCTCCTTCAGCCTCAGTTTCCGCTAGTTTTCACAGCCAGAAGTTGTGGGAACTTCACTTCCTGGCACTGGAACCCTGAGCTGGGGGGCCTGATGTGTGATGGGGACCCCTCACTCCTCAGAGAGGACCTTTACAGCTGAGGTACTCCTCCTGATTTCTATCCGGCACACTTGGGTGTGGAACCAGCCAGTCTGTGCCTCCGCCCCTCCTATCAGTCTGGAGATGGCTGCTTCTTTAATTCATAGTTGTAGGACTTCCATTTAGTTTGATTTCAAGCAGCTTTGAATGATGGTGGTTCTGTAGTTTAGTTGTAATTTTAATGTGGTTGTAGGAGGAGACGATACCACATTTACCTATGCTGCCATCTTGACTGGAAGTCTGGAGTTAATTTTTGTTATTAGTTTGGTTTTCTGTCTACCTTACCCTCAGATTATCCATTAGAAGTATAAATCTCCTCTCCCAGGTAATAACCATCTCCTCCAGCATGAACTGGTTACTCATTTTTTTTTTCTTTATTGATTATAGAGAGAGAGAAAGGAAGAGGGAGAAAGAGATAGAAACATCCATGAGAGAGAACATCGATTGGCTGCCTCCTGCATGCCCCCCATTGGGGATTGGGCCCACAACCTGGGCATGTGCCCAGGAATCGAACTGGTGACCTCTTGGTGCATGGGTCAATGCTCAACCACTGAGCCACATCGGCCTGGCTAAACTTGTTATTCTTTATGTCTGCTCACAGCTCTAGTCCTGGGATCTTCCTTCATTATCTTGGGGTTTCTCTTTGTTTCTCTCCTTTGTTGAACTTTAAATTCTAGATCCCATATCTCTCTTCCTAACTTTCAGTTTTCCAAATGTAATAGATTTCTTTACCTCGATACTAAGGCATCTTGTAAACCCACTCCTTTATGTAGATGTCCTTTGAGTTCTTTTTTATGTTCTTTTTGTAAGTAGTATGAACTAATTGTAATGATAGTTAGGATGCTAGACTATTAGAGGTGGGTGAGGCTTTTGACCTTATCAGTTTCTAACCTTCCAGATCCCTGGCATCCTATAGAGATTGTTTAGTGTCTTCCCCACTTCCCTGTACGGAATCAGACTCCCCTTCTTGCCTCTTCAGTATACCAACAATGTTAGTTTTAGGATGAATCAGCCAGTCCCTGTTGTCAAACTCCACCGTGTGCCTTGGCTGTGTAACCTTCGACAGGTTTCTTAATCTTGTAAAGTACTCTTTTCCTCATCAACAATAGGAAGATAATAAAACCTACCATACAGAAATGTTATAAGGATTGGAATTAATTCAGATAAAATAGTTCATATAAGGTTGACACAGAGGAGGCCCTAAGACAATTGTGGCTCTTGTTATTTCCATCTTGGGACTTAGCCTGTAATTTTACAAATGAAAAAGAGCCACATTAATTCAAAACATGGGATCTATACCAGTCAGACATTAATGTTCTAGGAAATGATTCTTGTTAATTTTAAAACCATGCATAGTAATTTTATTAAGTGTTGTTAGGTAGTATTAATTGAAATAATTTAAATACACTTTTAAAATTATATAATTTATAAAGGTATTTGTTAAATTAATCCATATGCTCTTTCGTATTAACACTTTTAACCCCAATAAAAAGGGGGGGGAAAGTTAATTTATCAAAGATGTAACAAAATCTCTCCCACAAAGAAACTATGTAGCTACTTTCCTTTTATGTAAGTGTATTTTAGGTGATGGCACTCATTTGTGTTCTATTTGTTCCACTGATATTTGTATGTACTTTTTCATGTGTTGATGCCTGCTACACACTTATTCTCCTTCTGGATGAACATTTGGGTTTGTTTTTGGGGTTTTTTTTCTTCCAGTTTTTTTGTTTAGATAGCACAGCTTTTTTTGTAAAAAGTACTTTGTCTTTTATTTATCCTCACCTGAGGATAATTTTCCATTTATCTCAGCTAGAATGGGAGAGAGGGAGGGAGGGAGGGAGAGAGAGAGAGAGAGAGAGAGAGAGGGAGAGAGAGAGAAATATCAGTGTGAAAGAGTCACATCGGCTGGCTGCCTCCGCATGACCCTGACCAGGGCTGGGGACAAAGCGTACCCGAGGTACATGCTCTTGAGTGTAATCGAACCTGCAACTCCTTGGTGCCCAGGCCGATGTTCTAACTGCTGAGCCAAACAGGCCAGGGCTTTGTCTTTTTTTAAAGTTATTTCTTCAGATCTAGTTCCCAAGGTGAGAGGAAGGATTACAGATTTGAATAGTTTATAGCTTTAGTTGCACATCATGTTGCGTTACATTCCAGGGTCCAAAACAGGTCTTAAAAGCCCTGTTCTCTCAACTGGGGAGTCCCATTACTTGCTCTCTTCTGTTTCCACCATCCCTGTGCTGCAGTATTAATTGAGATTCCTAGTGACTATTTTGAGGGATAAAGCTTCAATTATCATCTAAATATTAAAGAAAAAATAAAATTTAAGTATTATTTTCCTAACGTTTTCTAATTTTTAAAAAACTGGCCATTTGCATTCATAGGATTAACCTTATGATCTATAATCAACTTTATGTAAAGGGCAAGATAGTAAATATTTCATGCTTTGCAGATGATGTATTTTCTACCACAATTGCTCAATTTATAAAAAATTTATTTTAACTTGCAAAAAAATTTTTACTTTATCCCTGGCTGGTTTGTTCAGTGGTTAGAACGTCCGTCCACAGACCAGATAGTACTGGGTTTGGTTCCCGCTAAGGGCACGTACCTCGGTTGCAGTTTGTCCCCAGCCCTGGTTGTGGTTGTGTAGGTGGCAGCCAGTTGATGTGTTTCTCTCGCATTGATGTTTCTCTCTCTCTCTTCTTCCTTCTGTGTCTCCCGCTCTAAATGCAAAAATGTCCTCAGGTGAGGATTAAAAAAAATAAATTTATTGTTGAGAGTATTACAGATGTCCCCCATTTTCCCCACCTTGCCCCCCTCCACCCATCTCCTACCCCACTGCACGTAATTGCTCAATTTTACTCCTATAGGGAGAAAGCAGCTATGAACAATAATGAATGGCCTCGCTATGTTCAGATAATACTTTACTTACAAAAATAGATTGAGGGCTAGATTTGGGCCATAATTTGCTGATACCTGGTCTGTGGCATCTGGACACATAGTTTGAAACTTGGTGTACAGAATGGATCCAAAGACTGCAGTAGAGAACCAACTATATAGTGATTTTATATGAAAGAATTCTGCTCTGGTTCACAAAGAAATTGGAGTACACATTCCTGCCATCCAGAGAAGCCTTTCTAGCTGAGTTACCTGGGCAAGGCCACTAAACTGCCCTGTGGTCCCCTGGTTCTTATGCTATGGGCTCTGGAAGGAAGGGGCTGACAGGAGGTGGGCAGGCATTTCAGAAAGTCGTCCTGCTTCTCTCAGAACCCTCAAGGGATTTTTTGCAGCACCAGCCCTATCTGGTCCATATGTTGGCAGCTCAAGGCTCCCTGGATTTTGCTTGTCAGGCTTTGGCATTTCTCAAGTATAAGGGAAGACAATAAGCATTCAGAAGAAGCAAGAGTACAGCAGAGTCCATTTTCTCTCATGCTTTCTACCGTGGGAGAAAAATGGAACTTGCAGGATAATCAACACCTGATTCCCTGGAATCATTGCTAATCCGTCGCCTCTGGAGGAAAGCTGTGCCACTCCCCTCGCATTTCCGCAGGGCAGCCATGTGCGTTGGTGTTCCTGCACCCTGAGCCCAGCTTGGGAATCTTTTTGCTTTTCACCCATGAATTGACAGTGAGCAGAGCCTTGGCCTTCTGCCCTCCCCCACCAGAGGGAGTTTTTTAGTATACTTTCCAGTTGCATGACTACTCTGTAATAGTGGTTCAAATTCTGTTATAAGCCTCCTGGAGAGGAGAATAGGCATCTTCTAACAGGTATAGGAGCAGCAATTGAGCAACAGAATTCTGTAATAAAAAGTTTTGTGCTTTTGGGAACAGGGAGGGTTATTTTGAGTGTAATTAAACTTTACACCAAATCCCACTTTTTACTTTTGGTGTTAGCATGGCAACTTTTATGAGCTCTCTTATTCTCCACATGGGTCCTTATGCATTGATATCACAGAGCTGGGATAGGTTCCTCACATTTGTTCCCAGCTTTCTTTTTGAAAATCTGCCTTTCTTCCTGTTGGAAGTTAGCAGAGCAACCATCTCTTCTCTAACTAACCGTCACCACTTTCCTTCAACTATAAAGGAAGTCTGGACAGAGCAGCATTCTGGAGAACTGTCCAATACCCTGGTTTTGAGGTTTTCTTGTGTCTTTATGCAAGTCACAGGGAGTTTATCCTTGATGTATGTTGTCTTGTGTTTTGGCATTCACTAGTGTTGAACTTAATTAAATGGACAGCAAAGTTTTAATTTATTTCTTATAATGTGTAAATTTTGGTATTGTGATAGGTGGAAGCCACTTATTCTTCATCTACCCTTTTTTCAGTATCTGGCACCAATTCTGGCCCAGTCATTTGTGATCCATGGCTCTTGTGATATGCCGAAGATTTACAGGCAGTTTCTGTGGAACGCCTCCCCGTCCAGCTCTAATCAAGCACCATATAAACAAGAAATTGCCTAGTCAAACCTGTGAGGATTGTGTTCTGACTGTCAAAATGATCAGTACTGACACTAGAATGGCAGCCACTCTCAAGTTATTAAAACCTTTAGGATATCAAGTGTTTTGCAATCCTCTTGCCTACATTATAACCCAAAGTGTGGCATATTGGAATGTGGGAAGCTGCACACAGCACAGGGGACTGGACCCTCCAGAACACAGTAGTCTCTGCCATCCTGCCAAAAAAGTTGAGAACATTTGTAGTACCTCCTCTTCTCGGAGGATCCTGACAACCAGCAGTGCCCTCCTGGGTTTGGAATTCAGCAGGGCTTCTGCGTCTAAGGCTAGCACATTGAAGCCGGGCTCACCTAGGGCTATGAAAATTGATGAAGAGGATGTAGAAGTTTTTGATTCCTTTGAAGACCCCCGAGTTTTCCTACAGCTAAGACCAGAGTACCAGCTTCACAGCTATAACAGATCTGAGCTTTGTCAGCCTCTGTCTGTTTCAGAAAGTAAACTAATTTTGCACAAAGTCACAGTTTATCAAGATACTCTCCAGCCTCAAATCATTGCCGATTATTTCTGTAAGCTGAGCTCTGTGCCTGCAGAGCAGCATCCTGTTTTGCTGTCCAGTGCCAGCTTTGCTCTGCTTTGCAAGCTGAGTGTGAAAAACATACAGCTCTTTGATGCCCCAGATCTGATCAGTATTTTGAAAGCCTTTGTCATGTTGGGAATCCCTCATTCTCATTCAATGCTAGATGTGTATGAAACCAGATTTTGCCATAAGGTGTGGGATATGAGTCTGGATCAGCTACTCTTGGTGGCTGACCTCTGGCGATACTTGGGCCGCAGAGTGCCTCGGTTTTTAAAAATTTTTTTTAGTTATCTTAATTTGCACTGGAAGGACCTATCCTTGTCCCAGCTGATTCACTTGATTTATATTATAGGTGAAAGTCGTCAAGTACCCCAGGACCTAATGCAAAAACTGGAATCATTGATCCTCAAGTATATAGATTTTATCAATTTAGAGGAGGCTGGTACAATCTGTTTGGGGTTCTTTAAATCAAGTAGTAGTCTCTCAGAATTTGTTATGCGGAAAATTGGAGATTTGGTGTGTGCTGACATGCAGCATCTGAGTAGTTATGCCTTAGTGAATATTCTTAAAATGTTCCGTTTCACTCACGTGGATCATGTAAATTTCATGAATCAATTTGGGCAGATTGCTCCTCAGCGAATTCCTTCCTTGGGAGTTCAAGGTGTCATGCACCTGACTCTTTCCTGCTCTGCCTTACGCATCCTGGATGAAGGGATAATGAATGCTGTGGCTGCTTCTTTGCCTCCTAGGGTAGCATACTGTCGAAGTAAAGATGTTGCCAAGTTTCTGTGGTCATTTGGAACTCTGAATTATAAGCCACCCAATGCAGAAGAGTTTTATTCTAGCCTGATAAATGAGATTCACAGAAAGATGCCTGAGTTCAACCGTTACCCAGAACACCTGCTCACTTGCCTGATAGGCCTGGCATTTTCTGAATACTTTCCAGTAGAGCTCATCGATTTTGCTTTGAGTCCAAGGTTTGTCAGGTTAGCTCAGGAGAGAAGTAAATTTGAACTCACCAAGGAGCTGTATACTCTTGATGGTTCAGTTGGCATTGAGTGTCCAGGTTACAGAGGCAACCGTCTTACTTCTCACCTTCAGCAAGAGGCGTCAGAAATACTGTGGAATGCAGCTAGGAAGGATATGAACTCAAAGCCTGAATTTCTGGAAGCTTTCTTTTTACTTGAGACCATGTTGGGTGGGCCCCAGTACATCAAACACCATATGATTTTGCCTCATACCCGATCTTCTGACTTGGAGGTCCAGCTTGATGTTAATATGAAGCCATTACCATTTAACAGAGAAGCCACACCCACTGAAGATTTGGCCAAATTAAAGCTCAAGCATGTGGGAATCAGTCTTACAGATAATTTGATGAATCAGCTACTAAAGGGGAAATCAGGAGGGCATTTCCAGGGGGAAACCGAGTCAGAGACTGGGCAGCCGCCCATGGAATTGGAGAAGAAGGCATCCATACACTTGGAGCCTTCGCTTTACAATGCAGCAGACAGACTGGGGGCCACGGAAATGTCTGGCCTGTGCCCACCAGCCTGCATGCCGGCCCCCCAAGTGAAGCTGGCTATTCAGTTGACAAACAAGAACCAGTATTGCTATGGTTCCAGGGATCTGCTTGGACTGCACAATATGAAGAGGCGGCAGCTGAATCGGCTTGGGTACCGTGTGGTAGAGTTATCCTACTGGGAATGGCTCCCACTGTTGAAACGAACTCGCTTAGAAAAGTTGGCATTCCTCCATGAGAAAGTGTTTACCTCTGCTCTCTGAAGGGCCTCCAGGCATTTCTGCTCATAAATGCTGTAGATATGCACTGTACCAGGTGTTGTGAAAACAGTTATAGAAGCTAGAATGTAGGTTTGTAATAAAATCATCTGTTGAGGAGACTTAATTGTGCTCTTGTCTATTATTGTGAATTAATTGTAACCTAATTTGTGCAGGTAAATAATAAACATCTTAAAATGTCCTATTTTCAAGTAATTTCTCATTTTTCTTTCTCTGTTTACCAGCTTTATCTCACAGTTACTTTGAATTTTTAGGATAAAAGTATAGACAGACATTGTCTAGAGCCAATTCTTTTTTTTTTTTTTTTTTTAATCCTCACCCGAGGACACTTTTCCATTTTTTGTTCAGATAGAGTGGGAGAGAGAGAGAGGAAAAGAGAGAGAGAGAGAGAGAAACATTGATGCGAAAGGAACACATCAAGTGGCTGCTACCTGCATGACCAACCAGGGCCAGGGACAAACTGCAATCAGGGTACGTGCCCTTAGCAGTAACCGAACCCGGGACTCTCTGGTCCGCAGGCCGACACTCTAACCACTGAGCAAAACTGGCCAGGGCTAGAGCCAATTCTTAAAAATGGTTTTCAGCCCTGGCTGGTGTGGCTCAGTTGGTTGAGTGTTGCACCTACAGGTCGCCAGTTCAATTCCCAGTGAGGGCACATGCCTAGGTTGCAGGTTCAATCCCGAGTCGGGGTAAGTATGAGAAGCAACTGATCGATATTTCTCTCACATCTCTCCCTTTTTCTCTGTCTAAATGAAAACATATCCTCAAGTGAGGATTTAAAAAGAAATAAGTAAAAAGAGGGTTTGTATGTCAGTTGATGGAGAGAGAACAATTAAGAAAATTTAAAAATCACCATAAATGTGTTAACTAGGATATTATTGATGACCTTAACAATAGCAGTTTGAATTGAATTGTTTGCAAAAGCCAGATTACACACCTGTTGCATGAGTGAAAGTTAAGGAATGGGTGCAAATTTTGAGGCAATTCCTTGAGAACTTTTGAAGAGAAGGGGAAACTTTAGCAGGATTTAGAGTAGGACTAGGATTGCTGGATAAAATACAAGATGCCCAGTTGAATTTAAGTTTCAGATAAGCAATGAATGTTTTGTGGTAAATTACACATAAAATTGGCCATTTTAAACAACGTGTACAATTTAGTAATATTTTAGTACATTGATATTGTGCAACCAGTCACCACTATGTAGTTCTAGAACATTTTCTTTACCCCAAAAGAAAACACCACACCCATTAAGCAATTACTCCACATTTCTCTTTTTCCCCAGACCTTGGCAACTACTAATCTGCTTTCTGTCTCTATGGAATTACCTATTCTAAATTTTTTTTTTTTAAATGAAATTATACAATATGTAGCCTTTTTTGGTCTGGCTGCTTTTATGTAGCGTAATGTTTTCAAGGTTCATCCATGTTATAGCATGTACTAATATTTCATCCCTTTTTATGGCTGAATAATATTCCATTGTGTGCATATACCATATCTTGTTTATCCATCAATTGATGGATGTTGGATTGTTTTGGCTATTGTGAATAGTGCTGCTGTAAACTTTTTTTTTTTTTTTTTGCACATTTATCTTCAGACAGCAGGAGGGAGAAAGGGGGGAAGAGAGAGAGAGAGATCGAGTGGTTGCCACCCACTTGACCCAACCAGGGACAGGGACAAACTGCAACCAGCTACGTGCCCTTTGCAGTAACCGAACCCGGGACTCTCTGGGTCCGCAGGCCAACGCTCTAACCGCTGTGCAAAACTGGTCAGGGCGCTGCTGTGAACATTTATATACAAGTTTTGTTTGAACACCTATTTTCAGTACATTTGGGTATATATACTTAGCAGTGAAATTGCTAAGTCATATGTTAATTTCATATTTAACTTATTGAGGAATTGCCACACTTTCCCATAGTTGCTGTACCATTTTAAATTCCTAACCAGCAATATACTAGGGTTCCAGTTTTGCTAACACTTGCACTTGTTATTTTCTGTATTTTTTTTCAATAGCCATCCTGGTGGTTGTGAAGTGATTTTGATTTGTATTTCCCTAATGACTAATGGTATTTAGCATCTTTCGATCTTTATTTTTTTTTAAATCTTCATGTTAGGATATGTTTTTATTGCTTTTATTTTGTTTTGTTTTTTAATCCTCACCCGAGGACATTTTTCCATTTTTTGTTCAGGTAGAGTGGGAGAGAGAGAGGAACAGAGAGAGAGAAACATCGATGTGAAAGGAACACATCGAGTGGCTGCCACCCGCACGACTGACCAGGGCCGGGGACAAACTGCAACCGAGGTACATGCCCTTAGTGGGAACCGAACCTGGGTCTCTCCAGACCGCAGGCCGACGCTCTAACCGCTGAGCCAAACCGGCCAGGGCTGTTTTTATTGCTTTTAGAGAGAGAGGAAGGGAGAGAGAAACATTCATTGATGGGTTGCCTCCTAATGTGTGCTGACCAGGAATTGAACCTGCAATACAGGATGATGCTCCAACCAACTGAGCCACCCATCCAGGGCAACATCTTTCAGTCTTAACTATATTATGAACACAGGATGTCTTTTCATTTTATGAACACAGGATGTCTTTCCATTTATTTAGGTCGTCTTTAATTTCTTCCATCAACGTTTTGTAGTTTTCAGTGTATAAGTCTTATACCTCCTCAGTTAAATTTATTCCAAAATATTTTATTCTCTTTGATGCTATTTTAGTAAATGGAATTGTCTTAATTTCCTTTACAAATTTCTCCTTGTTAATATATAGAAATACAACTGATTTACCCTGCGCTTTTGCATAATTCTTTTAATTAATTTTTTGTATGTGTGTGGATTCTTTAGGATTTTCTATATATAGGATCATGTCATTTGTGGATAGAAATAGTTTTTCTTCTTTCGTTCCACTTTGGGTACTCAGTTATTTACTTTTCTTGCCTAGTTGCTCTGGCCAGAACTTTTAGTACTGAATTGAATAGAAGTGGTGAAAGTGGGCATCCTTGTCTTGTTCCTGATCTTAGGGGGAATGCTTTCAGTCTTTCACCATTGAGTTTATTAGCTCTGGGTTTTTCATAAATGTCCTTTATTGTATTGAGAAAGTTCCTTTTCTTTTTTTTTCTATTTATTTATTTACTTAAATATATGTTTATTGGTTTTTTGTTTTGTTTTGTTTTGTTTTTTTGTTTTTTTTAGAGAGAGAGATAGAAACATTGATATGGGAGAGACACATCAGTTGGTTGCCTCCCGCATGACCCTGACTGGGGCTGGGGATCAAAACCGACGTATGTGCCCTTAACTGGGAATCGAACCTGAGACTCTTTGTTCCGAAGGCCAACGCTCTAACCACTGAGCAAAACTAACCAGGATAAGGCATGGTTTTTTGACAGGCTGGTGAGGGCAAAAGAGACTTGAATGTTTCCATGTTTAGGGAAGGGTCTAGTAAGTAGAGATAAATTGAGGATTCAGAAGAGGGGCAAGAACAAATAGAATAAGGCCTGAGGAGAGGGGTAAAGTTAAGGTCAGGTTTATACATGGAGAGCCTGGCTGCCTCATCTGGGTTCCCATAGCATTTTGCTGACATTGCTATTAAGGCACTGAGTAAATGGTATTAGAACTCTGTCCATGTCCTTATTTTGAGTCTGTGGGTCTCTTGAAAGTAAAAACTATACCCATCTATGCCTTGCTTTAAGCCTATGAGTTTTGTTTGTTTGTTTTTGTTAATCCTCACCAGAGGATATTTTTCCATTGAGAGAGTGGAAGGGAGGGAGGAGGAAGAGAGAAACATCGATGTGAGAGAGACACATTGATTGGTTGCCTCCTGCAAAACCCTGACCAGGGCCGGGGATTGAACCTGCAACCCAGGTATGTGCCCTTGACTGGGAATCAAACCTACAACCCTTTGGTCTGTGGGCTGACATTCTAACTGCCAAGCCAAACAAGCCAGGGCAAGCCTATGAGATTTTAGAAAGTGTCTACTTGTGCCTAGCATAATACTTACCCTTGAAGGGTGAATTGACTCCAAGTGTATAAGATTGCAAGCTTTTTTAGGGCCCACACTTATGTTCTGATCACAGACATCTTTCATTTTAAACAGCTCTAAGAAGAGTGCATATAAGTCAGATTTTTTTCATGGATGGACAGGTAACTCAATGTAGAAATTATAAGAAGTATTGTACTTCTTTAAACGCTGAAGTACCCAATTTATAAAATTGCTTAGTGCATTGGTATTCCACCCACTCTTTGAGGTTAAATGCTTTTCTCTTATTTGACAGGTAATCTTTTCTTCTTCTCTTTTTCCCTCTGTAACCTGCTTGAGCCTAGTCTTTAAAATATATGTAACTGCCAGAATTACTTTCCATTACATTTTCATAAGACTCAAAATCAGGTTATGTAACTTGGCCATGGCAACTTCTTTGTAGGCCAAAGGAAGATGGATGCTCAAGTATTCGGAAAGTGTTAGGATCACCTTATCCTCTTCTAACTATCCATCCATGCTTCCCCACCCCCAGGTTCTGAGTACTCTAACAAAAAGGTTTGCTTGGCTGCTTCAGGCTCCAGAGAAGCACAGACAGAAACCTTCCAGATAGGATGACTGACTTGTTCCAGCTTGCCCAAGACTCTCCTGGTTTTAGTGCTGAGAGTTCCACATTCTGGGAAGTACCTCAGTCCTGAGGAGACCACATGGTTGGTCACCCTACCTTTGGATCGCTTCTCAGCCTTTCCCTTGCACCTTCCCTTACTCAGCCTAACTACAGGAGGCAGAGGAGAAAGATATGTCTCCGTCTAGACATCCAATCCTCTAGGGGCTGTCAACTGCAAGAAATACTGTTGTGCATACATTTAGAGCTACATTCCTTTCTGATATCATACTGAGATCTTGGGAACCCATGCAGTTGTTCAACTACTGACATCAACTTTAAACATATGAAAGGGAAAAAAAAAACTTATCCCACTACCCTAATACAATGCATATTTAAAATTTCTGCTTGTCCACCATTGCCTCCCAAACTCTTCATGTGTACATATTTCTAATACAGATTTCTAACAAATAGATGATCATAATTCTATTTTGTATTCTCTTTCTTTGTATATACTTTTGCATTTTTCTACATA